CGGCCGCTCGACGGTCGCTCAAGCGTGAAACTAATGTCTTCGCTCGAGCATAACTCTTGTCACTTGAGTGGTCTGTAAAACATGTGAACTTCTGGGAGCAGGCATTTTATGCTAGAGCCAACGTTTGGTCGCTCGAACGGAAGTGCAAAAATGTGTGTGGTCGCTCGAGCGCAGATTCTGTCGCTTGAGCAAAGAGGCAGAATATAGAGTTTCCAAATTGCTCTCCCAAGTTCAAAATTCAAATTCAAAGCTTTTAAATACATCCTTTGGGCTCAAAACTTGAGAAAACATGTCTAAACTTGCAAAATATTGGGAATTCAAGAACACTTTGCAAAATCAAAGCCTAAAAGCATGCCAATTGTGCAAATTCAAACTTGGTATTTCATGAACATAATTTATATGAAGTAGCTTGGCTTCAAAGCTTTCAAAACTTGTTCAAATGAAGTGTTAAGCACAAAAGCATGTTCAATTCTTAAAACAAAGGCAAGAGGAGCACATACATGTAAAAATTCTTTGAAAGCAAACTCAAATTGTGGTGATTTATACATGCATGTATGATATGACTTACTTTCCCTTGATTCTAGCTCAATTCTCATGCATAACTCTACTTCATCCTCTAGAATTCATGTTTTAGGTCTTAATTACACAATTAAAGGCTTGAATCTTTACCTAAACTCTTTAAGTAGGCTTTAGATTGCTAAATCTTTAAGCTTCCAAGCCAACTCTTTTCAATTTCCTTGCAATTCACCCTTCTCCAACTTTGATCTCAATTCTCTCTCTCTCTCTCTCTCTCTCTCACTCACGTTTTAGGGACTCAAGAGTGATGATATGAAAGTACAAAATGAATACAAGGGTCCACTAGTGCCTTATATAGGCTTAAATTAAGGAATTCATTAATTAGGCTTAATTAAGCATCAATTATTCTAATTATTTCGTTCAGAATGGAATTTCAATTAACCCTACCATAATGTTCTAAAAATGCCAACTATCACATAATTCAAGTCAATTTCATGATCGGATACCGATAAGGCCTTCAATTCATAGAACAAAATAGAAACACAGACATATATTCCTACAACAGACAGATATAACCATAAATAAAGCCATACGCATGCAATTAATTCAGAATTTCATCTTAATTACTCATTATGTATAATTAATCATGATTTAACAGCTAATCATAGGTTGGGGTTGTTACGGTCTTCCCCCTTTAAAGCGTTTGGTCCTTCAAACTCGAATTACCTTCGTGTTGGAAGAATACCGGATCCAACGGGATAAAGTCAGGATATCTTTTCATCATATCTTCTTCCATCTTCCAAGTTGCATAGGTCCCTCCGTGGTTCTGCCAATCAACCTTTGTCAACAGTATTTCTTTGTTCCTCAATCTCTTGATTCGGCAATTCACAATCTGGATTGGCCTCTCTTCGTATGTGTAATCATCTTTTAACAATATATGTGTTGGCTCAATAACATGATGCGGATCCCTTAAATACTCTTGAAGCATTGAGACATGAAAAACATTATGCATATGTTCCATGACCGGCGGTAAGGCTACCTGATACGTCACCAGGTTAATTTTTCTTAAGGATCTCATATGGCCTAACACATCTCGGTGCTAGCTTACCCTTTATTCCAAATCGCTTCTGGCCTTTCATTGGAGTCACTTTTATAAACACATGGTCCCCGACTTCGTATTCTCTATCGCGCCTTCAAACAGCTGCATAATTTTTTTCACGGCTTTGTGCCGTTCTCAATCTTTGTTGAATCAATTTCACATTTTTGGTCGTTTATTGCACAAGTTTCGGGTCTAACAAAGGTTTGTCACCTACCTCGGACCAGCATATCGGAGAACTTATAAAGTTTCGTAAGAAGCCATACCGATACTCGAATGGTAGTTGTTGTTATACACAAACTCAACTAATGGTAAATAGGTCTCCCAACTGCCTTGGAAATCTAAGGCACACATTTTGAGCATATCTTCCAAGGTCTGTATTATTCTTTGTGACTAACAGTCTTTTTATGGGTGGTAGGCACTGCTCAGTCTTAACTCAATTCCCAATGCTTGCTGTAGACTTTGCCAGAATCTTGGGATCTCTGTCAGATACTATTGAAATTGGAACTCCGTGCAATTTCACAATCTCATTGACATACAAGTTAGCCAACTTATTCGCATTATACAAAGTTTTGACAGGTAAAAAGTGGGCAAATTTAGTTATACGATCAACAATGACCCAAATAGAATCCATACCTTGAGAGGAGTGAGGCAGTCCAACAATGAAGTCCATCGTGATGTCTTCCCACTTCCATTTTGGAATTGGAAGCCAGCGGGTCATTGATGTTCGGTTTTAACTTGTTGGTAATGCAAGCATCTAGCCACATAGTCAATAGTACTTTTCTTCATTCCAGGCCACCAGAAGTTTTGCTTCAAATCTTTATACATTTTTGTATTGCCTGGATACATAGCAAATTTTGAATTGTAAGCTTCGGCCATAACACATTTTCTTAAATCCAAACAGTTTGGCACACAAAGTCGATTATAAAATTTCAACATATTGTTCTGTAACCCAAATCCCAGTTTTGGTTTTTAATCAATCTCATCAAAAAATTTCTTCAAGAACTCATCTTCATATTGTTTCTCTTTAATCTCTTCAACGATTGCAGGTTGGGCAGAAATGGAGGCTAAGATCCCACCCTGTTCTCGCAGTACAATTTCAATTTCATTTTTCTCCAAGTCACATAACAACTCTCTTTGACCGGTGAGCAAACATGACAAATTCCCGATAGATTTTTGGCTCAAAGCATCTGTAACAGTATTGGCATTCCCCGGATAATACAAAATTTGTAAGTCATAGTCCTTTATCAATTCCAGCCATCTTCTCTATCTCATGTTCAGTTCTTTTTGGGTAAAGAAATATTTCAAGGTTTTATGATCTGTGTATACATCACAAGTCACTCCATACAGATAATGACGCCAAATCTTTAATGCAAAAATCATAACTACTAATTCAAGGTCATGAGTCGGGTAGTTCTTTTCATGAGGGCGAAGTTGCCAAGAAGCATAGGCAATCACTTTCCCATTTTGCATTAACACAAACCCCAAGCCTTTGTAGGAAGCATCACTATAAATCTTTAACCCATCGATTCTGTTGGGCAATAACAGAATTGGCACAGTTACCAATCTAGTTTTCAATTCTTGGAAAACTGATTCCCACTAATCAGTCCAATCAAAGGGCACATTTTTCTGAGTCAAGTGTGTCAATGGCATAGTAAGTTTGGAAAAGTCTTTCACAAATCTGCGATAGTGACTTGCAAGACCCAGAAGGCTTCTAATTTCTGACATATTAGTTGGTATTGGCTAGTCTACAATTACCTCAATTTTCTGTGGATCTACTAATATGCCGTCCTTATTGATTACATGTCCCAGAAATGCTACACTATCGAGCCAGAATTCATATTTGGAAAATTTCGCATATAACTTTTTTTTCTCTCAAGATCTGTAAGGCAATTCTTAGATGATTTTCATGTTCTTCTCTAGTTTTGGAGTAAATCAAGATATCATCAATAAACACAATGATAAATTCATCAAGAAATTGTTTAAACACCCTATTCATTAAATCCATGAATGCTGCAGGTGCATTAGTTACTCCAAATCACATTACCAAGAAATCGTAGTGCTCGTATCTAGTTCTGAATGTCGTTTTCTTTACGTCTTCTACCTTGACCTTTAACTGGTGATACCCGGACCTAAGGTCTATCTTGGAGAACATTTATGCTCCCTGAAGTTGATCAAACAGGTCATTTATTCGGGGTAGTGGATATTTGTTCTTCATGGTTACTTTGTTCAGTTCTCTATAATCTATACACAGTCTCAAAGACCTATCATTCTTTTTAACAAATAACACTGGAGCACCCCAAGGTGAAATGCTCGGTCGGATAAATTTCTTGTCTAGCAATTCTTGGAGTTGGACTTTTTATTTTTTCAGTTCTGAGGTTAACATTCGGTAAGGAGTCTTAGAAATCGGTTGTGTTCCCGATACAACATCAATAGTAAACTCAATTTCCCTATCAATTAATTCTCTGGACAGTTCGTTTGGGAATACATCAAGGAATTCTTTTACTACGGGGATGTTCTTTACAGTAGGACCATCAGAAGTCACAGTCAAAACACAACACATATAACCCTTATATCATTTCCTAAGCAGATTAATAGCTTTCATGGTGGAAATCAAGTATAGGGGAGGAACTACCCCATTTCCAGCAAACACAAACTCAAGTAAATCAGGTGGACAAAATACAACATATTTATTCACATAGTCAATAGTTGCACAATACTTGGTTAACCAATCCATACCCAATATGCAGTCAAAATGATCGATTCTCAAAGGCAATAAATCAACATATAATGTCATATCACCAATCACAATATCACATGCTGGATAAACATATACACATATCAAAGAACCCCAAAATGGCGTAGATACAGACAATAAATAGTTCATGGGTTCTAGAGATCTAGTTAACTTCTGAGAAAAAGCATGCGACACAAACGAGTGTGTAAAACCAGAATCTATCAAGACATACGCATTTTGAGCACAGATGGAAATTCTACCTGACACCACAGACTCAAGGTTTTGTATATCTCCAGGCACTAATGTGAACACTCTCTCTTGCCTTAATGTCTCATTTCCAGTATTCCCTTTGGCATTAGTTCTGGCATTTGACCTTGTTACAGAAATAGATCTGGTTGAACTTGCTACAGGACGGTTAGCATTGTCGAATCGTAGCGGACAATCTCTAATTATGTGGCCGGTCTTACCATACCAAAAACAAGCGCCAGATGCACGGTAACATGTGCCTTTATGCTTCATTCCACATTCTGAACAAACTGGCATAGACCTATTGCTTTGGCTTGAACTGCTTGAAGATCCAGTATTTTGCTTTTTGTTTGTAAAGGATGAGCGACCTTTCTGAAAATTGAATCTAGATCTTTTGCTTCTCCATTAAGTTGTTATTGGGGCCATACTTTGTTTCATAGCTATTAAGGTAGCTTCTGCCATCAAGGCTCTGTCTAGTATTTCCACATAGGTAGGTAACTTCAAGACACCAACTCGATAAAACACTTCCAGATCTAAACCGCCTTCAAATTTTTGTGCTTTTTTGTAATCAATATCCACCATGTGCGGAGCAAACCGGGCTAACTCAGTGAATTTAGCCTTATATTTGACTACGGACATCCTGCATTGCTTAAGTTCTTGAAATTCTGACACTTTCCAATCTCTAAAGCATTGAGGAAAGTACTTGTCGTAGAAGATCTCGTTGAATTGAGCATATGTCATGTTCCCGTTGCTATTTCGGATTAGCAACCCCCACCTTCGAGCTTCATCTTTGAGAGTATAGGTAACCAATAACACCTTCTGAGTCTTGATACAGGGAAATACTTCAAATAATTTCTCCATTTCGAGTAACCATATCTCTACCTTCAACGGTTTAATACCACCCAAGAAGGTTGGCTGTTTCATCTTCATAAACTTCTGAGTTAGATTTATGACATCGTTGTTATCCGGTTTAACTTACATCGGCGGAGGGGGATGAGGTAAATGTTGTTGCCTCTGTTATTGCGTCATTGTTTCAGTCAAAGTTGCAAGCATCTATTCTATTCGGCTCATTTAGGCCTCAGAGGATTCGGTGGCATCATTACTTCTTGTATTTTTCATTTGCTATAGGTAAACAGAGAACTTATAAACATAGACAAATAGTCCTTTTCACAATGGTCAAATCATTCAATCTCAGTTCATTCATTTCCGTTTTATGTGTTCATAGTCAGGTTTAGTTTTCACATTTTGGACAAACTGGCATAGGTAACCAATAACACCTTCTGAGTTAAATTTATGACATCGTTGTTATCCGGTTCAACTTACATCGGCGGAAGGGGATGAGGTAAATGTTGTTGCCTCTGTTATTGCGTCATTGTTTCAGTCAAAGTTGCAAGCATCTATTCTATTCGGCTCATTTAGGCCTCAGAGGATTCGGTGGCATCATTACTTCTTGTATTTTTCATTTGCTATAGGTAAACAGAGAACTTATAAACATAGGCAAATAGTCCTTTTCACAATGGTCAAATCATTCAATCCCAGTTCATTCATTTCCGTTTTATGTGTTCATAGTCAGGTTCAGTTTTCACATTTACAAAAATTAACACACACACTCACATATACAGATGAAATGTCCCTAATTTTTTTTCTAGGACAGCCTATGGCTTCTATGGACTCGTGTGTGCGGTATAACTCATGCTCTGATACCACTCTGTCACGACCAAACTCGCTCCTATGGGTTTAGTATCGTAACTAGCTAGCAATCTTGGCATTACCAAAGGCCTTTGAACACACGAACAATATACAGGAGCTAGTAGAAGCAAATATATAAAATATACGTAGTGTATTAAGCTGTACCGACATACATGGGACTGAAATTAAAAACTTAAATATATATAAAAAAACGTCAAAAGTTTCATAAGGTATGTATCACCACACGGATAATGACAAAAGGGACTTAGCCTAGTGTACAAATTGCCAAAACAAAACAAGAACATCTTTAACACGAGTCACAAAACTTGACTTCTTTCAACGGGAACCTCCTCAGGAGGCACAAAGGTTGGCTGACAAAACCCAAGCTCCAGGTCCTCAACTCTGAGCCAGGTCACCTACATGCATAATATAAACAGTGAGCAAGAGCCCAGTGAATAATAACAAAGTAAAAGTTTAAATAAATGATGTCCTATAACAGATTCAGAAAATAGAAACAATTTCATATTTATATTCTTGTTCAAATCATATACAGAAATCAGAGTTAATGCTTGTTCATATGTGGTACATCCAATAGCGCTAACAAATCAAATACAGAGCATTAAAGGTCATACTTGTCAGTTCCATAAAGGAACCTCCGATACTAGGAACTTGTAATCATACGTGAGCCGCGGTATTGTTACCCCCGGTCAAGGGCCATGAGACCACGGTATTATTACCCCCAGGCTAGGGCCTTGTGCTCATAAACCACGGTATTGTTACCCCTGGGCTAGGGCCTTTTGCTAAGAATGCCACGAATATTTTTCAACATATGGACAATTATTCATTGATTCAGAACATAACATGTCCGAAAATAGAGCATTTCTTGTCATATCATATCATATAAAAAATTACTTAAACGTGAACATAGCTTTACAAAGTTATTACTCACAGATGACTGTAAAGGCAGACAGATAGAGCAGATGAATCCGATAACTTGTGGCGCGTGACCTACATAAACATATCAGACACACACATTGAAACACACACTTGGATAGTACTTAACTTATTTCATTTCGTCCTTAGTGTGTTTCTAAGTCTTAACCTTCTTTATTATGTCTTAATTATGGCCTAGGAATGTCTAGAATGCAATGAGGTTGCCAAAACATGTTATTCAACACTTAGGTAAGTTTGCTGAAAATAGGGTTCTCGATTGAGCGTAGCTTCCCTTGCTCGAGCAGAAGTTCATGAGTGGTCGCTTGAGCCCAACTTCCTTCTCTTGAGCGGTTTGCAAAAGTACTGGTTGTGCGATTTCTCCACTCGACGGTCACTCGAGTGTGAGACTGAGGTCTTCGCTCGAGCGCAACTCTTGTCACTCGAGCGGTCTATAAAACATGTGAACTTCTGGGAGCAGACATTTTACGCTTGAGCCAACGTTTGATCGCTCGAGCGGAAGTGCAAAAATTTGCGTGGTTGTTCAAGCGCAGGTTTTGTCACTCAAGCAGAGAGACAGAATCTGAAATTTCCAAATTGCTCTCCCACGTTCAAAATTCGAATTCAAAGCTTTTAAACACATCTTTTGGGGTCAAAACTTGAGAAAGAAAAACATTGGGAATTCAAGAACACTTTGCAAAATCAAAGCCTAAAAGCATGCCAATTGTGCAAATTCAAACTTGGTATTTTATGAACATAATTTATATGAAGTAGCTTGGCTTCAAAGCTTTCAAAACTTGTTCAAATGAAGTGTTGAGCACAAAAGCATGTTCAATTCTTAAAACAAAGGCAAGAGGAGCACATGCATGTGAAAATTCTTTGAAAGTAAACTCAAATTGTGGTGATATGTACCTACATGCATGATATGACTTACTTTCCCTTGATTCTAGCTCAATTCTCATACATAGCTCTACTTCATCCTCTAGAATTCATGTTTTAAGTCTTAATTACACAATTAAAGGCTTGAATCCTTACCTAAATTCTTTAAGTAGGCTTTAGATTGCTACATCTTTAAGCTTCCAAGCCAACTCCTTTCAATTTCCTAGCAATTCACCATTCTCAAGCTTTGATCTCAATTTCCTCTTTCTCTCTCTCTCTCTCTCTCTCTTACACATTTTAGGGACTCAAGAGTAATGATATGAAAGTGCAATTAATTATTCTAATTATTTCGTTTTGAATCAAATTTCAATTAAACCTACTATAATGTTCTAAAAATGCCAATCATCACATAATTCAAGTCAATTTCGTAATCAGATGTTGATAAGGCCTTCAATTTGCAGAACAAAACAGAAACACAAATAGATATTCCTACAGCAGACAGATATAACCACAAATAATGCCATACGCATGCAATTATTTCAAAATTTCATTTTAATTACTCATTAGGTATAATTAATCATGGATTAACAACTAATCATAGGTCGGGGTTGTTACAACTCTAATAATAATTTTGTTTACCAGATTTTATATATACTATACGATATATTACTACTACATTAATAAGAATTAATGCGTCAAGTAAAGGTGCAAAAATAGCCCGCTGGCCCGAAACCCGCCTGCAGTCTGACCAAGTTAGGCCCAAACCCCCAAGACTGGGATTGGGTCAGGTGCTTTTTGGCCCGGCCCGAGAGCTTGGCTCGTTTGGTTCGGGCAAACTCGACTCGCCGACCAACTATATAATTGAATCAAATTTGTATTACAAAAAAAGGACGACTATTTTTGAAATTATATTTGTCGTTAATTTTTTTAAAAACAAATGTGTCAAACATATAGTTATCAATATCCAATAATCTTGATTTTTTGCATGAATATTTTACTTAGCGAGTCCTAAAAAGCAAACAGTTTGAATCACTGAAATCGGTCAAAAAAATGGGCCTACCACACCCAAACTCTTTCTCAAATTGAGATGACAACTTGAGAGAATCCATATCCTTTTTCTAACCCCTTCCAAATTACTCTAAATACACCCCTCTCCCCCATTTTATTTTCTCACAAACAAATCTCTCTCACAAACTTTCATCATTTCTCAACTCTCAACTCTTTTAACTAACTTTCAAGTCTAATTCTTAAGTGGCAATTTTAATTGTACAAGAAAAAACTTTCACAAAAATAAACTAATTTTTATATCGCATTCGTCATTTAGAAACATTAATTGTTAGTTAATAAATATTAATTTTTTAATTGATATTTCAATATTTAATTTCGTAATGTTTTTATTAGATTATTGAGATGAATTATAAAGAAAATGATTGGTAGGCTAACAGGTGATAACCTAGTTGGGATATACTTAACCTATAGTGATATAATTTCTCTTTCATCAGTAATCTATATCTATATTATTTGATGAAATAAATTTTTAATATTTTATTAAGTAAATTGTTAAAAAGACCAACCTAAAGAAGACATAAGGCATTAGGTTCAGTGGATATTTTTTATTAGTGAGAAGTCCACCTTTTGTAAAATAAATTAGTGAAAAGTCATTTTGTTTATTTTGATGGACATTTTGTTTTCGATTTTACCCTTAATTTATCTGTTAATTTTTTGAATATCTGCTCAAATTTATATATATTTATTCAAATTATTTTCTATTTGTTCAAATTTTTTGTCTATCTGTTCAATTTTTTTCTATCTATTCAAATTTTTTGTCTATCTGTTCAAATTATTTTTTTATTTGTTGAATTTTTAAACCTATTTTTTCTTATATATTGAACATATTTGTTGAATAGATAAAAAACTGAATCTATTTGTTTAAAAAAATTGAATCTGTCTACTGTTATCTGTTTAAAAAATTGAATCCGTTTGTCTTTCTCTCTCTCACTTCTCATTTATTTCTCTCTATATCTGTTGATTTCACGAACCTGCTTTTTGGCCCCTCTCTCTCTCTCTCCTAGCTCCATATTTGATGAAACCCAAAAATTAACGAAGATTTGCATCTGTACACAATTCATAATAAAATTTAGAAATTAATTAAAATCTTCCAAAACCACAACACAAATTTGCAAAAACAAATCTCAAAATTATTACAACATAAATCTTACAATTCAAAACAGTCTATTTGTCAAACTCCGGATCAAGTCATAAAGCTTGTATAATGGGATCTTTATCTATGCAAACCATTTTATAATTTTTTACCTATGAAGAACACTATGGCTGTGGCAATGAGCAATCTGCAGAGCTAAGATTTATGTCGAAATCAGACTAATGTTGGTCGACAACAGTCCTGGATTGAGAAGAATGAAAGAAAA